TTTTTTGGTTTTTCGAGACAGGGTTTCTCTGTGTAGCTTTGTGCCTTTCCTGGAACTCACTTGGTAGCCCAGGCTGTCCTCGAACTCACAGAGATCTGCCTGCCTCTGCCTCCCAAGTGCTGGGACTAAAGGCGTGCGCCACCACCGCCCGGCGCAAGCATCCTTTCTTGCTGAACTATGTTGCTAGCTCCACACATAAAAACATTTTAAAGTGTTTTATTTTTGTTATTTTTCATTATATGTATGTCTGTATGTCTGTGTGCACATGAAGGTATTTACAGAGGTTGGAGGTGTCAGATCTCTGTGGAGTTGTAGTTACAGGGGCTTGTGAGCTTCCTGATGTGGGTGTTGGGAACCGAACTCGGGTCCTCTGCAAAAGCCCACTCAGCATTTAGAGACCCATGGAAGCCTTAGTATAGGACCATAGTTGGACAGTGTTGGATCTCTATGAAGTCACTCTCTCTAAAATTAACTACTGGGCAGAGGGGATTGCTAAGCTGTGACTCAGAACCCACCCGCGCCCACCTTCTGCAGGTACGCCCCCCCACACACACACACGCGCATGCCTCCTGCCTGAAAGTTCTGACAGTCGTGTCTGTCACGTGGAGACTCTGAAGCCGTGTCTCCCCAGTGAGAGCAGCCACCTCCCTGAGACAAGAACTCCAGGGGCATTTGGAACCCACCTCAGACACCCGGAAGACAGTAGTGGCAGCTGACCAAGACACAGCGTTGGCCCTTTCTGGTGTGAACCAGGGTTGGAACCTGGCAACTGCCAACTTAAGGGTCATTTCAGGCATCTTTTCTCATGCATGGCTAGGAAAATTTGAAGTCAGCCTATCCATTTTCTGTGTGAGTGATCCAAAAGTGTGGGAATGAATGGTGTGTGCTCATAAAAAAGCAGAGTTAGCACACTCTTTCTTTTTTTTTTTTTTTTTTTTTTTTTTGACCCGCTCTTCTAAAATCACCTCAATACACTTCTTTCATACATGGAATGACCGATTCACTCATGCAAGTGAATGGAATCTTTGGCCCTGTTCTTCATCACTTGGTAAGAACACCGTATACTAATAACCCAAAGAGAGCCAGCCCAGTGCCCTGGCCATGGCAGTGCTGTTGGTAAGGAAGCTGTGGTGGTCTGGGTGTTTCTAGCAGCTGGGTATCTCAGAGCTGGAAACACTACCTGGGTGCCTGTCACTGGTGCCCAGAACAGAGAGCCACACCCTGAGCCACCCCCCACATCTGCATATCTCATGGTTGCTAGTTGCCGGTGGTCTGTCTTCAAAACATTTTAATGTATCCTCTCTTCAAAAACACTTTTCTTCTCAGGAAGTTTCTAAAAACCTCACCAAGGAAAACGAGCAAATCAAAGAGGATGTGGAAGAAATTCGAACTGAGATGAATAAGCGAAGCAAAGAGAACTGCTCTGATAACATCCTAGACAGCATGCCGGACATCCGCTCAGCCCTGCAGAGGGATGCAGCAGCAGCCTACGCCCACCCAGAGGTACGGCCTCACATCCCCAGGGTATCTCCTCAGCCTGGACTGTGAGATCAGCTTCGGGAAGAGCTCTTCAGGGGTTTGTCCTTCTACAGGCAGGGTCTCTCTCCTGTGTGACAGCTCCTTAGGTGTGATGAGCAGGCCTTGACCCAGCTTCCCTCAACACTGACAGCCAGGCAAGTTCAGTGAATAGAGATGGAAGTTAGTCCTCAAATCTGGGTCTCCCGGGCCTTGGCATCATTCTCGCAATGTCCCATCCTGCTTTTGTGAGCATCCCTTGCAGGACATATGTGCTCTCTTACCTGGGACCGTCCATGTTTGCACCTGTCCTGGCATCATTACTGATACCACATTTTCATCCTCTCGGAAGTGTCTCAGCTTGGAGACAATAAGTGATATAGTCCTGTTTATAAGGGACTCGCTTAGTCACTGCACACTAGCATCACGTGTGTGGTCATCACTGACGTTCTGGAAAGCAGGCCAGACACAGGTCAGTACCCCTCCGATGGAGGGACATAGATCCTGGACCAGTTGGAAAATAGTGGCAGAGCGTTTCAAACTGTGCCCCCTCCACCAGTGGTAAAGGACTGCCCGTCACCCCCAAAGTGTGGGGAAGCAGAAGAGAAGCAGGAAGGGGCTAGGGCCCCGATGGCCTGACTTCCCCCACTAGGCCCCGTGTCTTAAAGCTTGTGCCACCTCACAAGACCATGGGCTAGACCAAGCCTTCAATACATGGACCTTGGGGGGAGGTGGACTTAAGATCCAAACTGTGGCAGGCCACATCGTTTTGTGTTGGACTCTGTTGCCTGGGTCATTGTGAATTTGGATAGAAAGGAAGGAAGGCTCCACATGTGGGCTCAGAACTCCTTTTTCATTTGATTGGCTGCTGGTGGTCATGTAGCCTAGGCTAGCCTCAAACTTGCTGTGCAGCCGAAGATAGCCTTGAACTCCTGATTTCTCCCACCTCCACCTCCCAGATGCTGGGGTTACAGGTGTGTACCTGGTCTATGAGGGGCTAAGGACTGAACCCAGGACTTTGTGCAAGATAAGCACTCTGCAAAGCAAACTACATTCCCAGCTCACGGGCTCAGAACTCTTGGGTAAAGGAACTCGTTGTAGGGAGGCCAAGCAGGCATACCTGGTGAGCCTGGGACCTTTGGGGGCACGTGTGTTCTGAAGGCGAGATGAGAGGTGAGGACTTTGAAACAACAAGCACTGGAAAAGCATGGTGTGTGGACATCCCCAATATGTAAGCCAAAAGCAATTCTGTGCTATGAAATGAGGAAGGATCATAATTATCTGGCTTTTGATGTTTTCTTGAAACATTATATTTCTTCAGAAATAATTTTTCTCATTTTGGAGTGTCCCTTACATGTTGGCCACCAAACATGTGTTTAGCCTGCCTGGTGGATCACCCCTGAGGGAACCCGAGACCATAACCCCAAAGCCATAAGATTTGGGGACCAGAAAGAGACTTGAAGGTCCTTGCTCCCCACACTTGGGTCCTGCGCCCCTCATCTCAGCCCCACACTGCCCAGTGCAGCCAGCCTTCCTGGCCTTTTGCTTTCGGAACCCAGTCAGCCAGCTAAGTTGGAGAACTTTGTCTGCTGTCTTGATGACACATTCTGTGGTATGTTCAGGAACCCAGCTCAGATTTCCTGAGGGCAAACTGCAAACCAAATCAAACACACCAAACGCTTTTTCTCCTTGCTCAGCAAAGTCGCCATCCTTTCCCGAGGCCCCACAGTGCACAAGTTAGCACAACCCACCTAGCCAGGCTGGTAGTGCAGAGGGAGGTGCAGGAGGCCCAGAGGTAGGCAGCCTCACTGTCTGTCTCCCCGTGTGTGCGGCCCTGCGTCTTCGGTGAGCACCACACTGCAGCGGGAGAGATGGTTGGGCTGTTTGTTTTTGGTTTTTGCAGATGATGTCAGGCAGTTCTTGGAACGGCCAGTGATTATTTGTACGGTGGTCTTCCAACATGGTCCTCGTCTAGAAGGTTGGCAGAGGCGCTCGGAAGCTAGGTTGAGTGGCAGAGTGGGAGTGGGAACGCTGGATGCCAGGAGGTGAGGTCATTTGGCAGACTCTTGGATGAACAGAGAGAGGCAATCAAAGCATGGTGGGGCCAGCTGCCACCCAGTTCAACTCGTCGCCAGTGGATCCAAGGAAATTATATGTTGTCTGGCACAGGCTTTCCACAGTCTTGCTCCATGTTCTTGGCTGGGACCAAGAACTGCGGTCCCTGCCCTTTCCCGAGAGCCTGGAACTGAAGACAGTTCCTGGGGTTGGCCACAAAGAAATGACATCTGGCTTCTGTAACACAGTGGGGAAACCAGGGCCAGCAATTAGATGCCCCTGGGCATCTGAGGTAGGGGCTGTGGCAGGAGCCTTCGGTCAGCCTCACAGGCAGCTCTTTCCACTGGGAAGTGAAACATTCCACGTCTGCTGGCCAGTTGCCAGACCACGGCCCTGAGGACACAGGGATGCGGGCCACTTTTTGGATGGCAAACAAGTAGTCTTGGGGTTACAAGCTTAATGTAAGGAAGAGCTCAAGCCCAGGAAGTAACAGCAGGGCCTATTTGGTTTTTGTGTGTCTTTCTCAGCCTCTTCGATGAGAGATTTTTCATCTAAGTTACCAAATGTCTGTTTCCTCGCGGATGGAATGTTGGTAACGTTACCCTGCTCCATTTTTGTGAGGGTTAAAAATAATATATAGTGGATTGGCCTTAATAGGTGCTCACCAAAGTGACATGATCAACAAGCTGGCAACCACAAACCTCTGGTCGAGGTTACCTCACAAGAGCAGAGGCTTGAGGGAGGCCCAGGGAGCTGGCATGAAGGACAGAAGCTGCCCAGAGCACAGCTGGCATACTAGCATGCTTTGTGTTCTCCTGGGCAGTTCTTTGACCCCAGAGAAGGGTGACTGGCAGAGATGTGTACACATCCTTCCAGCTGCCCGTCACCACTACGTGCCAGAGAGACACGCATATTCAGGGACTGCCGTATCTGTTGCACAAAACTCTCGTCATGGGAAAACAAGCATAGACGTGAGATGTGGTGGGAAGGGGGGCATGCCAGGTTCTCTGCAGGCTAGATTTTAAAGGTCGGAACAAAAGCCTAGCTTGCCCGCTCTGTGCACAGTGAGAGGGTGTCATCATGATGGCTGGACCTCTATAACTAATACGGAGTAGATGAAGCCCTGCTCTGCTCAGGACATGGCCCTGGCCTGGGTCTTGTTTCTATTGCAGCCTTCCTCCCAAGTGGGTATCTCCAAGGCCTGGAAGTTCAGGGCTCCAGGAACCTTACCCCTCTCCTCTGATGAAGGTGGGGAGGTTGATGGCTTAGGGGACCACAGGCAGCCACCTCTTTACTCAGCCACTGGAGTCCTCATGAGAGCAGGGCTGCCCACATGTTCCCACACTCAAGGTCAACTACTCCCAAGAGCTGGGGTCACCTGCAAGGTGGCCCTGCCTGACTTTGAGTCCAGCCAGCACAAATCTTGCACCCACAGTTCTTTGCTTGCCAAGTGGGTGATTGTCCTGCACAGGGAGGCTATCACGATCCTGTCACACAGCAGACCCAGGAGGCCAGTGTGTGGCAATAGCTCCCTGAAGGGCAAGGGAGTTCTTTGGCACAGCCGGCACCGTCAAGGTGGCATTCTCATAGTGCCCTCGGGATTGCCCACACTCTAGGCTGCCTGCCTTGAAGCTTCATTTGGCTTTGATAAAAATCAAATGCCAGTCATAAGTGGAGGCGGTACCTTGGGATTTCTTATGATTCGGAACTTCAGTAAATACTGAGGAACATCTGTCTGGGGAAGGGCCAGTATGAGATGGCCTCTACTCTCTCAGATTCCCATGGTCTATAGAAGCAACAGCTTCCTTCAGTAGGTGCCCACGGAAAGCATCTGAGGGAAGGCCTGTCATGGAAGCGCAATCTTCTATCCCTTGGCAATGGAGTCTGTGACTCAAAAACCATACCTTTAACGTTGGAAAAGGCTTCTAAACTGGCCTCAGACTCAAAGATCCACCTACCTCTGCCTCCAAAGTGCTAGAATTAAAGGTGCGCTTTACCACACCAGGCCTCAGTTTCTTAATCTGTGATTGGACGTGATCAAAGTAGGCCTGATTCTTTGTTTGTTTGTTTGTTTGTTTAAGACAGGGTTTCTCTGTGTAGCCCTGGCTGTCTTGGAACTCACTCTGTAGACCAGGCTGGCCTCGAACTCACAGAGATCTGCCTGCCTCTGCCTCCTGAGTGCTCCAGTACTGCCTGGCAGGCCTGATTCTTAAGGTCTGGTGCAGAGATCCGTCAGCTGACACATTGAAACACTGGCCAAGCACTCTTAGGAAGCTGCTGCTGTATTTAATGCGGCCTCTGCTCCAGCCTTGTCAGTCCTGTCCCATCTCTCTCTGACCAGCGAGTGACTTGGCCTTCCATTTTTGTCCCCTCTGAGGAACAGTATGAAGAGCGGTTTCTGCAGGAGGAAACCGTGTCACAGCAGATCAACTCCATCGAACTCCTGAGGACGCAGCCGCTAGCCCCGCCTGCAGTGATGAAGCCACAGCAGCCCCTGCAGAGGCAGGTGTACCTGCGAGGCCGGCTGGCTTCCAAGCCCACCGTCATCCGGGGAATCACCTACTATAAAGCCAAGGTCTCTGAGGAGGAAAACGACATTGAAGAGCGCCGTGAGTCCGGGTCAGCGGGACAGCCCCAGAGGCAGGGCGAGGAGGAAATGGCCATTGGGGTCTCGTAGAGATGGGGTTCCACACTCTTACCCATAGTGCAGTGTTGCAGTTACCTAGGTGTTTGCTGAGAAGCCATGGGCCGGTCACTTAAGCTCTCTGGGTTTTGGAAGACGCCGTGGCAAAGGAGAGATGAGTTGGAGGGACTTCTGCATCCTCTTGTCCAGTCCTTCTTGTTTGCAGATGGACAAACCAAGGCTTGGGCCGAATGACATCCCTGGAGACACTCGGTAGACTCTGCCATCTGCTCCTTCCCAGGGTCCTCAAGCTTGCTGAGTGTCCAGCACCTTTCCCCATGGACATTTAACCTTCCCACCTTTTCACAAAGAACAGAGGAGCCTGTTTCTGTGCGCCTCTATGTCTCCTGTCAGCTCTCTTTTCCTTGCCCAGAGCTCCCAGGAAGCCACGATTCCCACTTCCTGAGGCAGCTCTTTCCCCCGACAGGTGTCAGGAGACAGCCTTCCCGCTTCAGCTCATTCTGTCATCGGATGCTTCAATCTCAGCCTGTAGCTTCGGTCATATCGCCAGCTGTAACTGTGGTTTCCTTTACTGGCTGCAGGAGCTCTCTCTACAGCCGCTTCCAGTCCGGCCGTTAGGGTGTTTTCTCCCTGCCTGTCCCTTACAGTTTCACTTAACCTCCTGGGGTCCTTGACGAACATCTGAAATCCAGCTTTCTGGCTATTTCTTTCGCACTTAGAACCCTTGCCCCCTCTAATGAATCTTTGCTTCCCATGTTTTTTTGTTTGTTTGTTTGGTTGGTTGGTTGGTTTTTGTTTGTTTGTTTGTTTGTTTCTGCTCAGAATCCTTCAGCCTCATCCATTTCACTCAGAATAAAAACTGAATTCTATACAGAGACGCCAAAATGCCCGTGACCCAACTCCTGTCTTCCTCTGGCCTTACCTCCCCCACACAGCCTCTGCTGTGCCCACGCTGGTTACCTCCATGCTCCTCAGCTTCAGCAGGCTTGTTCAGGCCCCAGGGCTTCTCATTTCTGTCTTTTCTGCCTGGAATCCTCCTGTCACCCACCTCCATGCTGCTTGGCTTACTATGTTAGCGTCTCCAGGATCGCTGCCTACCCATCTCAGGGAGTCTCAACTGGCCACTCTATTCAATTCCTGCAAGGTTTTATTCTTTTTATTATCTCCCTTTAAAATTATTTTTAGATATTGTTTTCCAGGCTAGCCTCCAACTTGCTATGTAACCCAGGCTATCCTTGAACTCACAATCCTCCTGACACACTGTCCCAAGTGTTGGCATTGCAGGTGTGAGCTGCCCAGGCTCATAGTCCATGACTTATCCCCCCCAATCCCCTACAAGGCTGGGGTAGGGATAACAGCAATTTGTCCAGAGACTCCCAAGGAAAGACACTGTTCTTCTACCCACGTTCCTGGCCATCTTCTAAGTCCCCAGCCAGAAGGGCTTGGGATGGACCTCAGCTAGAGGACTTATAACATGCATAAAGCTTGGGTTTGGCCTCCAAAAAGAAAACACAAGTGCCAAGGTAAAATTCTGGGGCTGAACTCCATCTCCAAGCTCACTGCCACGTTGCAGCCAGGAGCCTCACTCACCTGCCAGTTGCCATGCATTCTCAGCCAAAGTGATCCTTGTGCCGTGCCAGAAATGAGCCTTGTGTTTCTTCCACAGATGATGAACTTTTCAGTGGGGATAACGGCGTGGACTTGCTGATTGAAGATCAGCTCCTGAGACATGAAGACCTATTGACAAGTGCCACGCGGAGGCCAGCAACCACTCGACACGCCGCTGCCGTAACAACTGACGCGAGTGTCCAGGCCTCTGCCTCAGCACCCAGCCTTGTTGACCCTGCCGCCAAGGCCTCCGCGGGACAGCTCTCGGCAACCACACAAAGTGCCACGGTGTTTCCGGAGCCTACGGAGAAGATACCTTCTACTCAAGTCCCACCCACCACCGTGGCCCACACGGCCATCCAGCCACCTCCAGTAATGGTTCCTGAGGACGCATTTGTGGAAGTTCCACACTTGGTCCCAGGGTTGCCTGACACCATTGGGACAGACATGCCAGAGGAGGAGGAGACTACAGGGCAGGAAGCAACCTCTGCTGGCCCCATCCTGAGCCCCGAAGAGGAAGATGACATCCGGAATGTCATAGGTGAGTTCTTCTTCCTGGACTGGAGCTCCTCCGATCAGCTTGCTAAAAGGTAGCGTGTCTTGTGGAGGACAGGGGCTGGGAAGCCAGGCCTCGAGCTGGGATGGAGCAGGGGGGCTTGCATGAGCGAGGCTCTGGGTCTCACTCTCAGCTCTGCCAAAGCAGCACGGCACAAGAAAGGCCAGTGGAGGTACGCCTCTGGCCAGCAGTTAGTTTCACATCTGGCAGCGTGGCCGACCTCTTGATGTAACATGACATTGTCATCTATAGAATTCACGTTGGAGAACTGTGCTGTAGAGTTACAAGCAAACAGAACAAACTTGCAAAAAATCTTACATTTTAATTAAGTTTACAGTTTCATATTGGACTGCAGTTGTGACCATCTTTATCCATGGGTGGCTGTTTGGACATTTCTGAAGTCTTTATGTATCTAAATGTGTTCAATGACAAGATTAGCAATCTCCTTTCTAAAATACATATGAATGAGTAAAATGAAGACCTCACTGCCATGGATGAGTTTTCCAAACATCAGTTTGTCCAGGGAGTTTGTGATGGATCCTGAAGTGTCCATCAACACCCAGATGTTTGCCACAGTAAGGTTACCAGGCCATGAACCAGCAGAGGATTTTTACTGGGGCTCGCCTCAGAGTCATAGCAAAGTAGGGTCAGGTATATTGGTTAATTTATGTCAACTTGACATAAGCTAGAGTCATTTGGGAAGAGGGAATCCTAATTGAGAAAAATGCCTCCATAGTATTGGCCTATAAGCAAGTCTCTCAGGCATTTTCTTGATTAATGATTGATATAGGAGGGCCTACCTCACTGTGGGTGGTGTCTTCCCTGGGCAGGTGGTCTTGGGTTATCTAAGACAGCAGGCTGAGCAAGCCATGATCAGCAAACCAGTAAGCAGCACTGCTCCATGGCCTCTGCTTCAGTTCCTGCCTCCTGATTCCTGCCTTGAGTTCCTGCCTTGGCTTCTCTAATGATGAACCAAATAAACCCTTTTCTCCTTGGGTTGCTTTTGGTCATGATGTTTTATCTAGCAATGGAAACCTTAACTAAGATGTAGATGTAACCAACCGTCTTATTAAATAAGAAACACAGAACCAATGCAAAGAAGAAAGCCAAGAGGTCAGAGCTAAGAGCTGAAACCTTACCCTTCCTCCTGCGGTGGTCCTACCTCTCCAAACCAGAGCTACTTCCTGTGTTAAAGTCTTTATATAGAGTTTCTGTTCTGCCTTCTCATTGGTTGTAAACCCAACCACATGACCGCCTCGTCACGGCCTGTCTGTATAGACCTCCAGGTTTTCTATGATTGGTATTGAGATTAAAGGCGTGTGTATCCAATACTGGCTGTATCCCTGAACATACAGAGACTTACCTAGCTCTGACTACCAAGTGCTGGGATTACAAGCATATGCCACCACTGTCCTGCTTTCCTATGGCTTGCTAATAGCTCTGACTCCCAGGCAACTTTATTTATTAACATACAAATAACATTTTAATACAAATAAAATATCACCATATTTCCCCTTTTCTATTTTAATAAAAAGAAAAAAGGAAAA